AACCGGATCCGCGGCCATTTTCCCTCCCGTGACACGTGGTCCGCGGCCATTTTCCGCCCCTTCCACGTGGTCCGCGGCCATTTTCCACCCGTTCCACGTGGTCCGCGGCCATTTTTCTGCCCGTTCCGCGTGATCCGCGGCCGTTTTTCTGCCCTGCCACATGGTCTGTGGCCGTTTTTCCGCCCTGCTGCGTGGTCCACGGCCGTTTTTCCGCCCCTGCTGCGTGGTCCGCGGCCATTTTTCTGCCCCTGCCGTGTGGTCCGCGGCCGTTTTTCCACCCTGCCGTGTGGTCTGTGGCCGTTTTTCCGCCCCTGACACGTGGTCTGCGGACGCCGGAACGGATTAACGGTAATTACATTGAACCTTATGGGAAAATTTGCCTCGTGTTGCGACCAATCCGAGTTGCAACCAGAGTCACGGAACGGATTAAATTCATAACTCGAGGTTCCACTGTATTGTGTGTCTGTGAAGCTAAAAGAAAAAGGAAGGAGGTGACATCTGAAGAAGAGGGTCTCATCTTGGGGAGCGGAATTAATCGGTACATGCAGAGAATGAAGGTATAAGGTTAATTTTGAAATAAAGGGCTTATATATATGTATGTATGTGTATACATATGAATTGGTGTCATCTAGGTTATGGGTGACTATGAAAGTTGAAATCCATAGGTTGGTGGCAGTTGTATATTACAAACAAGTGAATGGTGGTAATAGAAGAACCATAAATGAAAATTATGCAATATTCTGAATGAATATAATCCAAAAAAAATATGTTAGGTGCCGTGAATGGATGAGTGGGAAAGTGACAAGAGAGTATAGAAAAAGTGATTGTGTCATTCAGAGATCCAAGAGTGAATGATGACAGTGTCTGGTGAGTATCTGTTTAGAAAAAGGTCTGCTTTTAATATATGGTTTATGTATAAATCTATTCATATGTACATATGGTAAAAGAATGAATATACATCTAAAAGCATGAACGATTTGATATTATGTGATAAAAGAGGGAATTAGAGGGTAATGAGTAGTTCTGAATGTGGAACAATCTAGTTTTTGGTAGTGTCAAAAGTGGACTTGGGGGAAAATAGATATATAGGAAAATGAAAGAAAAAACCTAGACTGAAAGCAGAACAACTGCAGGAAGGGAAAGGAAATGTCCTGTATGAAAAAAATATTAGAAGATAGCTAAATCTTCCAACAAATGAATGAAAAGTGTGCAATGGCAATTCTCCTTTGACTTTTCTCAGTAACAGCCTAATAGGAAGAGTGTAATAAATTGAGAATCTTTTCAAAATGAGTGGGCTTAGTCAATAAAAAAAATCAAGTCTTCTATTATATGTAACGAGGTTAGGGAATTAACAGGCGTGAAAGACAATAGAACATGGAGAAAAGGTAAATGAACAGCTCATTCAGAGAGGTGTCACTCAGCCAGCTGCTCCAGTCGAGAATGTATACACAGAACAAAAGCTTTCTTTTGACTGTTTCATGTCTGACCCTTTTGGGATGGGATTTCTCCTTATCCACTATAGCAGTATTGCTCACCCAGAAAGAGAGTAGCATGATGTATACGTGTGTGTATATATGCATGTATTTGTAGCTAATACATATTGGAGATCATTTCTTTACCTTCCCAGTAGATTGAAGCGATCTCTCTGAAATAGTATCTTACGATTCTGATTGGCCTTCTCAGGCACATCAGCATTAAAATGTATAAATAATGTTTTGAATGTAGCCAGCACTTACAGTCAAATTAGTAGGTGTTCTTCCCAATGTGTGTATGCCTCCTCCCAAAAATTTGGAAAGGCACTGAATACTCAGTGTGAAGGTCCTTATTTGGCGTGAAAAGAGGCATTCAACCCCACCCTCATCTTGAATGAATATTGAGCTGCAGTGGATGAGGAGGAAGATATTTCTCCTTTTCTTAAGTTAGCTGTCAGGGTGGTCTGTTCCGCCAAGAGCTTATCACTTAAGTTTGTTTTAACTCTGGCATTCTTATAGTAATAATTGGGAGGAGGAAGACGTCTGAGAAAATCTTATACCGGCCTCATTTACTTGATTTCTGCCTACTTGGGTGGGTGGCAGAGTGATTAACCCAGTGTTTGTGCGCTTCCTCACAGCTCACCAAACAGTAAGGACATTTCACTCCATTCATTTATCTTGTGTTTTAAAAGCAGAAGCTCATAGATCCTCAATGTGAAGTTTTCCTAGTGGAGCTCATTTTTTCTAGTGTCATTTTGAACGTGAAGGACAAAGCCCAAACCCTAATCTTGAGAGGTTTTCTCTGTCCCCTCTACAAATGGGTTAATGGGATTATTTAAGAAATGCACATTTTTGTGAGTAAGCTCCCCAAACCTAAAAGCCCTGATCAGGGCTACGTTTGCCTATCAGCAGGAACAGACTGCAACATGGTGATGATTAAAATAACGTTTTAAACCAGATCAGTTTAAAACGTACTTATTGATAAAATACATTGATGAAAACATCTCATGGTGAGACTTGTTTCACATAGTAAATAATATCATAGTGCAATATTCCTTATTCATAGAGATCATATCATATCATATCATATCATATCACCAAAACAAATGATGACTTAATAAACAAAGGTTATATGGACCCCTTGGTATTTAAAACTATATATTTAATTGATTTTCTAATGGACACATCTCTGTTACCTTAGCAATAAATGGGAATAGCTTACTTTGTCCTGACTACCAGTAAACACCCTGAAAAACAAAATTGTTCATGGAAACAAAGAACAGATGTAACATTTCCAGAAGACTTGGAGTCTGTATATGGGTGTTTTGTGTGTGTGTGTGTGGTGTGTTTGTGTGTGTTGGGGAGGGGAGGGGAGGGGAAGTTCTTTTATTCCTTTGCAGATAGGCAGAAGTTGGAACCACTGCAATGTTTGTTTTTTTAGATCAGTTCAAAAGTTACTTCGACTCATTTTTTAATTTGTATCCTGACTGAATTGGAGCCTTGCTGCAGTTAATTGGTTGGAACTTCCTATGCCTGTGATGACTTTTACATAAATAAATGTAGCTTGATATCCCCAGTGTAATATAGAATTCGACCCACAGTCTGTTGTTAAATCAAACTAATGCTCTTGTGTCCTTGGGAGAAAGAATGAGGGAATACTTATTGGTGACATTTGGTAAGATTTCCTGAGAATGCTAGAGAATATTTGTGCTTTTTCATAATTGCCCTTTTTTATTCGTTCTGGGAAGATCTAATCTATGTTTATAAAATACAGACCTGCATGTCCAATTATCTGTAACTTGCATCAGAGAGAATGTAATATATGAATAAATGTGTTCCCATTGTCTGCAGGGGCCTTACAGATGAATCTGAGATTCTGAAATTCTTGCAACATGGCACATTGGTGGGGCTCCTTCCTGTCCCTCATCCCATCCTGATCCGCAAATACCAGGCTAATTCTGGTACTGCTATGTGGTTCCGCACTTACATGTGGGGAGTTATATATCTGAGGTAAGCTAGCAGGATACTAGCCAATTTTCTTTTACTTGTCAGTAGCATGCTGGATGAGAACACTCACTGAGTTAGAAGTAGTAGCCTGAGGTTTGGCTTGGTCTTTTAATTCAGTGGTTTAGGATCACAGGCTACCCTCACAGTATCAGCCAGAAGAATTTACATTACAAATTCATTGAATGTAATTTGCATTACTTTTGTGCTTCTGACTCATTGATGCACAACATATATTACTTTTTCTTGAAATTGTGTGATTCTGACATGTCCAGATTCTGTACATGGAGTAACATTTCCTTTTCAGTAAACTTTGTGACGTTTTGTAAAAAGTGACCAAACTCTTCTCACTACCTGAAAGTAATATGCATTTGGGGCTGAAATGAATTAGGATCTGAACACTTGAAAAAAATAAAAGGAGATTTTAAAGTTATTGCTAGTTACTAAAAATGAAAAAGGGCAACAGTTTTTCACTAGCCCATGAAATACTGGTTTTAAATGCTGCATTTAAACTGAAAGATAAATTAAATGCTTGTAAAGTCCTCTCTCCTCTGGGCTAAAGTCTCAATCTATACTGGAATTTAGTTAGAGGAAGTATATTCAAGTGCAGAACTGTGCTATTCAATTAATATGTAACTTGTTCCTAACTCACTTCATTTAGCTTTGAACCTGAATCTTAGGATCTTTTGCCATCTCATTTTTGTTCTAGTTTACTTTTGTAACATTTGCTGAAATCAGCGCCTAAAATTAAAATGAAAAACAAAATTGAACTTTAGAATACCTTCATAGGTGATTTCTTAGTTAGAAAAATCATGTATGTTATCTTTGCTCTCTTCTGATTTAAAAATCAAGTCTCTCCTAAAAGAGATTGGGGTAATGAGAGGATGATATTTACAGTATTATTACATGTTGTACAGGAGTATGGAGGTAACTTGAAGAAGGAATGTATGAACTGTTAGGTAAACATCTATTTAGCCCTAGGAAGAAAGAGAGGGTGAGAAAGAAACTTGAGATAACCCCACTGAAGTGTAAGAGGAGGCAGAGGAAACCTGTCAGGCTTTCAAGATTCTGTTATACCCTACAGCAATAAAGTAGAGTTCCAGTAATTCTTTGTGGTATCTGTTTCCTGATCTGGCCTGCCTCAAAGGGCTGACCCACGTTTGAAGCGAGGAAATTAAGTTTCTTCAAATCTGTCAGACTGGAGAGGTTTCTAAACAGTCCTTTGTTGTTAGTTGTTCCAAAGTAGATAATAGGTTGGCCTCTGTGAGAACAGAATGTTGGATTAAGATACAAGACAAATGTTGGACATTTGTCCTGTATGTTTATAATTCTTATTCCAGAGTAACTCTCATGGACATAATACACTTTAAAGGGTACATTAGTGCTAAGGTTTTCAGAAAACTAGATTACAAATGAATTGGAAGTGTTGAAGTAGCATAAAAAACGTCATTAGAAATGACTGAATATTAAATAGCTTGATTCTCTATATCTCTGGGTCTATTGATTTTGTTTGTTTGCACACATAAAAAGTGCTGGAATGTAGTGATTTTCCTAGTTCTGCCCCTGGAGTTTTTGTTATGTAAAGGAAATGACTATCTGCTTCTCTTTAGGAATGTGGATCCTCCAATCTGGTATGATACGGATGTAAAGCTGTTTGAAATTCAGCGGATTTGAGGAATGGAACTTGCCTCCGGTTGAGTAGAAACACTGGAAACAAGGATCTTGCTGTGCGCTTCTCCATCACAGCTCCTTCTCCATTTCACTGCCTCCTGCATGTTCTAAAGGACAATCACAGCCATTTCTAGCTGCCTGGGAATCACACTGGAAACCAAACAAGAGCTGCTCAAATCTTCCCCATGCTTTTGGTGCAATTTGGAATCTGACTAGCTACCTCAGTGTTTCTCAACCTTGTCGACTTTAAGGTGTGTGGACTTCAACTCCCAGAATTCCCTATGCTGGCTGGCTGGGGAATTCTGGGAGTTGAAGTCCACACACCTTAAAGTCGACAAGGTTGAGAAACACTGAGCTAGAGAAACCATCTTTTTACTCCCTAGTCAGATTCAGCCTTTATGTAAAAAGACATTGAATGTAAAGAATTAGGAAAGCGGATCAGTGAAGGAAGCGCGACTGCAGGAAGTAGCTTTGTGGGTTTTTTCCAAAGAATGTAACCTGTCAGCCCTTTCTTTCACAGTCCTCTGTTCCCATTCCCCATCTCCCCCAACTGCTTTACTGCATCAAGTAGGGGGTGGGAAGGAGTTTCATTTAGGAGGTGACTGTTGACCCAGCAGTCCACTTATTTATGTTATTTCAGGGCAATCTTTTGGTTTTGTTCACCCTCCCCTGTCAATGAAAATGTGCTTAATTCCTTTGTCCTGGCATTGTAACCGAACCCTCAAATTCTGCTTTTGTTTGTTTGTTTCCCTAACCTGGTAGGAGCTCCTTTTAAATATGGATGTGTGTCTTAGGTATTTCTCACATTTTAAAATTGGTGTTTATTGCAAGAATTGTCTCTGGAAAAAATATTGTAATGTGGGACATTTTGAGAGATGAGGAAACAGCTTGGGCACATGCTATTTTCAGGGATTTAGAGAATATTGGGGTTTTTTTTTCCTTAATGTATTGAAATGAGCAGTCAAACTGCCGGAATGGAGTTTAGAATGTCACATAGTGTGGCTTGTATTCTAAGTTGATGAATTAAATTATAATTGATTTCAAGTAAGAAAAATATCTACTCTTGCTTGTAAATTTTCAGCCTTGTCTTGCAGGATCCAGTAGTACCCTAGTAGTATTAGTGTGTTCTTGCTCACCACAAAGGATGGCAAGTATGTTATGTAGTGATCTCCTTCTTGCCAGCTTTGATTTGAGCCCCAGCCAGAGAATCTAAAAATTGGGAGGCTGTTTTGACATAGCCCTTCTCTCTCTCTTTTTATAAATACTTGTCTTTTTCATACCTGAAGTTAAGTCAATGCTGTCACCTTGTGGCATAGGAAAGTGCAACCTAACCCTGTAAAACTAATACCAATGCAATTTGTTTTTTCTGCTCAAGAATAGATATTTTCAGTTTTTTTAATACAACAAAGTGAGCAAATTATAGATACTAACTAGATACAATTCTGGAGATTTAGACTGGGGAAAGAATAAATAAGAAGGCCATTGTTGTTCCTCTTTGACATTTCTCCCTTTGCCATTCATCATTTCATTTCCTCCTCATTCACAAAACCTGCTATTTAATTCCTCTTACATCCCCATTGACAGAATGAAAACTGTATTTTCCTTTGAATGTCTTTGGTGATGCCTAAGTAAGGTTCTGATCAATGGCACCATATCTGTACCTCACTGCAGAGTAAAGGTTCTTGTTAGTAAATGCTGATCTGTGTCTTCACCTGTATACACAAACACTCCCATGTATGTGTGTATGCACACTTTTGTGATACTCCAACTTTTTATTTTATATTAATGTGTGTTTTTTTCTTGTGAATTTATCTTGACTTTTGCTTTCTTTAGCATTGCAGCTCTGTTCTTTGTTCCATGAAGAATCAAAATTGCACTATAAACTATTTACTTTACATATGGAGATAAAATTATCTTAAACACTGTAGCTGGCTTTATCTATATCACAAGAGTTTATTAGCTTATTTGTGTTACTGTTTGATTTATGATGCGGTGGCATTCTTTGCAACATGTACTTTTCCATTAAAGGCATGGCTGCAGAGGAGCTCTTGGATCAATATTTTACTGTTCACCTGAAAGCAGCATCTGAAAGAACAGTGGTGCGGCATATTTTTCACAAGCACATTTGCTGGTGAGAAGAATGGGATAGGTGGACTGTACCTTAGATTCTATAAGAGTTTGTGGAATTAAAATGTACAAAATGAATGTACTTTCAGAGCAATGTAAAGTTTAAGGAAATTGACATGAATTTGCAAGCTGTTGTGACTGAGGAATGTGAGAATTCTCTTTTCAGAGTTTGAAAGATATATTTAGATTCTGGGTAACTAGTTGGTCCAAGGGCCACAACTCCTGCATTTGCTCCAGACTGCTCTCCTTGCAGGGGCAGCAGTCTTTATTGCCAGAGCTCTAAACGTTTCCCTGCTTTTTCTTCAAAAACCACTAACCTTCAGTAAGTTCCCTGGATGGGACCTGTGAGGAATGGGGCAATTTTTAAGGGTGCTAATTGATCCAACTCTTATTTCCTCTGGCAATTCCTGTTGGCACAAAAGAGAATAAAACTAGCCAAAATGCGAAGCCCCAACCCCTAAGAGCATTTGTTCTTTGGTGTTTGAGCGAGCTAGCCTCTTTGGAACAGAAGTTCTCTGAGTGGAGCCTGAATGAACCTCTTGCAGCCTTGATTCTCTAAAATAAGAGTTGTGAGAAAGCCAAGCCCTGGACTCTATCCTAGTAACTCTTGGATGATTTATTTTACAAGAGAGCAATAAAACAAATGTTTACACTTCCACCTGTTAACTTTTATCAAAAGGAAAGGTTTGGACCTTATTAAGAGGTAGATTGATCACAAAGCTTGGGTCAGTTTTTAATCCTCTATATAATCAAACATCTATTATAACTTGGAGGCAGTTTCCCGTTGCTGCCTGTTTTGTTGCATCCTGAACTCTGGGCAAAGCAATTAGAGCACATGTAATAAACCTGGAAAATTTAGCTAATTTTTATCTGTTTTAAGATGTTGGAAGCTTTTCAGGATTCCCCGCAGTTCTGCCTCTGTATTTTTCAACAATTAAATTAGTGGTTCTGATCAGATCGTGAACTTGATATTTTACTCTGCTTTAATATCTGTATTCTCATTCCAGTCTTTATTATTTAGATACTTGGTGTGCAAGAGAAATAGTGAAAACAGGATTATACCTCTGGCCTATCTTAAGTTAAATTTGTATGATCCTGGTCTAACAAGACAGTTTTGGAAGAAGCAGTCATTTCATCATGGTGTGGGGATCATCTGAACAAGGCTGCCCAGTGCAAATGGGACTGTTGGCATGGTGTGGTATCCTAAATAGAGTTGTTTGTTGCTTTGTAAGGAGAAGTCCTTGGCCTTTTCCACACTTTTCATCATTTTATCAAAAAATTTGCAACAGATCCCAGATATAAAATTTGGATTGTTCCAAGGTATATCAGAAATGTGAGACATTTCCTTATTATCTGCTTGATATCAAAATTATGTTTCATTCCTCCTGAATATTACTTTTTCTATTTTACAGTATGCCATATGCTTTATTGCCTCCATTGATGCAAAATGTAAGGCAGATTGTCAGAAACATCTCAAGAATGGCCTTATAGTGTGACAGAGACATGATATACATGATCTTTGTGTTTTGATTATAGATGTAAATGGGTGCAACACTTGGGACATTTTCATGCTTTTTTTCAGAATAGATGGGTAGAAATGTCCTTAACTTAAAATGGTCCATTTCTCAGTCTGTGCACAATGATTCAAGCATATCCAAGGATTGATACAGTAATGGAAAGTGGCCATTTTACCCAAGGGATTGCCGTGCTCAACATAGTTTACCTCTCTTTCAAACATGGCATTTGCCTTGTATTCCTAAGGTTAATAATTGTTCAGCATCACTGTAATTAGATTTTGTAGGTAATGTGTACAGAACAAATCAATCATATAAAGAGCTATTATGGAGAAATGAACCTTCAATTATTAATGGACTACTTACCCACAGAATCAGATTGTTGTTCTTTCTGATGTACCAAACTATTCAAAATGATATCACAAATCTCTCTAATGTGAAATTCTCATAATAATTATATCCATTTTATTACCGGTCTTCATAATTGCATTTGTAGCAGAATAAAAACAGCAATGCAAGAAACTTTGGATTTGCTTCAGGCAGATCGATACACCTCCAGAAGATCACCAACAGAATGCATTCTGTAGAACACACCCAATGGAAGCCCAAAATTGACAATGGCAAACCAGGTGGAGTAGCCATAAAATGACTTCTCTATTCCATTCTCAAACACTGGATGTGCTCCAAATGATGGCATAATCCACAGCTGGAAAGGGATGTAAAAATAGAGCAGGTATCAGAAAACATTGGTTCTATGTTGGTGGGATGTGGGTATATATATTTACTGTGGGGACCCATCGTAATTTTATCTTAATTTTCGGTACTGCTTCCTAGTTTCTCCACTTCTAGTGAGTGAAAATCTTTAAAACCTTGGTTCCTTATACTATACAAAGAGTTCAAATAAGTTTTTGTTCATTTGTTTTCACTGTGCAATTTCCCTGCCTAATTCATGGTCCAGGCATTTTCTCTTGGTAACCTTCCTCTTCCTCATGTTTTTGTTCTGCATCTTTAGTCATTTTTCTTAGCTCAGAAAATCCATTATGGAGAGAGAGATAGAAATCCTGCACAGTATTTTTAACTGATAATGCCAGGAGCCTTTCACTGCCTTCTGCATTAAGCTATTTTGACCCCAAATGAAAAGATTAATTGATCTTTTTGTGATTGCTGGCCCATGCTTTATATTAAGGTCTACTCAAATTTGTCCATTGTTGACAAGGGTGCTTGAAAATGGATGACAGGATATGAAAGCTAGCGTTCTCCATATATTTTGGACTACATTTTTTATCAGACTTGGTCACAATGCCATTGGTCAGAGATTTCAATAGAATAGTCATCCAAAACATCTGGAGGAGACTCGGTAGGTCATCTCTAGTACATTGTATAGGGTATACTTTTAATTATTCTTACTATCATTTTTATAAGTACTTACAATGATATTGCACATGATCAGGAAGCTGGAGATCTCCTTCAGAGCTCTTCTTTTCCAGTTCAAATGCCTGTAGGTCTGGATGTAAGTCCATGAAACTCTCTGGATTTCCTGTCTTTCTTCTAGGTTATCCATGTTTGGGGAACTGTCTTCACATTTCTCTTTTTCACTTTTGTCTGTCTCCTCATTGGCAGTGGATGGGGCAGGTTCTTTACAGAGATGGGATACAGTCCTATCTTCATTAGGCAGAACCTGGGTTGAGGTAGGCCCTTGAGTGGAATGTGCAGCAGGGTGAGGGTCCTCACTCACCAGTAGTGGTTGCCTGTGGAGCCCCTCAATGATGAAGATATTCTGGGAAATGTGTTGAATGATGAGGTTTACTGAATAGGCTAGAATGATGCCGTTCAACATATCTATTGGGTGTGTGGCCACAGTGGCTACAATGGAAAAATATGAGATGGCAATTTGGCCTAAGGCTGTTCCCATGAGGAGGATGACATCAAGGCTTCGGGTTGGATTTTTCAGGGTATCCAGCTCCCTTTCTTCTAGGGCATGGATAACAGTTCCAACCAAAGCCCCCACGGTCATTACAGGCAATAAACAAATATAGTAGGAATAATATAGTATGAATGATTTATGGCTAGGGAAAGAACCAGTGGCTTGGATCTGATATATCATGAAAATACAGATACCAATAATTATTGCAGCGATACCAAACAAAGGCCCCCAAATAACGCCATGGAGTTTGAATCTAGGCTGGATACAAGTGTTATGGTCCTGAGCTATGCGCCGGCCCACATTCTTCCACATGACATACAGCATGGAGCAACTGATCAGGCAATATTCTGTATTGAAGGGATATAACAAAATATATCCTTTTTGGAAGATCTTGCAGGAGATGGTGTTTAAGTATTTGCAGGAATATGTCAAATTACCTGAGCAAGATAGGGAAAATGAAGCATTATGCAGAAGGCAGCTATGAGATTTCCAGCTCACAAGATTTGTTTGGAATGAAATGCATAAAGTTATAATATGTAAACACCTAGGCTGAATAAGGAATTTTCTCAGACTTTGATACTACTATCAATAGAAGGTGGAAGGATTTATCCTTTGCAATGATTCTTTATAAATTTTATCTAAATCAGTAGCTAAGTGTTGTGTGCTCTTTTCTCTGTTGAGCAGTGAAATGCTGAGAGTGAAGGTCCAGCATACACCAAGTAATCCACTGGTTTATCATGCTGCCAGTTTGAGTCAGTATCAGGAAGCTTTAGATTATCTCGTTTTGTCACACTAATGGCTGGATTTGCCCATAACGCAGTGCCATGCAGCAACATCCATTAAGTGTGCATGTCAAAATTGGCACGGTGGTGGATGGACCATTGCCATGCAATTCCCACCCCATTTATATGCACACTGACACTGCATATATGTTCCGAAGAGGTGGAACCTGCATCACAATTCTTCATCTCCCATCTTGCTGATTTGGGCACATCTCCCCCCTGGTGGATGCCACGGCTTACTTGCTGGATACATGCATCAGTAAGCCAAAGATTTATAAATCACAGAAACAGAGTTCACACAACCTATTAAGCCAAAATCAATCCATCTTGTGACTTAACTCAAAATATAAAGATAGTTATTGAAATATGAGGGCTAGAACCCTCTGTTCTAGGATACATGTGGAAAGAAAATGTCAAAATCATTGGAATTAATTTACAACGGAGAATGACCCTTGCCTTCATATCTTTGCAGGGTCTGGTTAAGTTCTGATTCAATTTCTCTGTGAACTGTATCGTTGGTCACTGCTAAAAGCCATAGCAGGAGGTTAGTGGCCAAGGTCAGCATTAGCCCACATCTGTCAAAGAAGAAAACACATTTTTTATCATCTTTGCCATCAAGCTTTAGGAAACAAGTTGTATGACACTAATTTTTGGAATATTCGCTTTTTCCAGAACACCTTGCACACTATGAAAATCAGCATGTCAGTAGCTGAATTGGAGAGTTCTAAATGACACCTATATAAGAATGAAGGAGCTGAGTTATAATCAGAACATAGTTTTAGCCAAAAATACCATCCCACTCCAGAAGTGTGGCATTTGCTATTGAGACAATCCTGAGAACTTCACTTAACCATCGTAAAAAGAAACGGGGTGTGTGTGTGTGTCTGCAGAGCCAGGCTTGTGAAATCCTTTGCCACCCCTCAATAGCAGTTCCCCTCTGGGTCATGTGACTGAGAGGAAAAGTAGGGGGAGGGGTCTTAGAATGGAGCAGCTGGCGACATTCTAAGCCCCGCCCTCCTGCCTCTCCCACTCGAAATTTTTTTTTTCCCTCCACAGTCCCTGGCCTGATCTGGCCCATTTTCAAACTCAATCTTTATTTCACCACTTCTCCCTCATGGAAAATGTGGTTCCATTCTATTCAGTTTTCAGATTCTGATGGACAGAGTTCCCAGGTCCCTTTACATAATTTCTTTCCAACATTTTGCTAGATTGAAAAGAATAAAAAGACTTGAGACTTCATGCTTTAGAAGAAACTTTGAAAGGTAGGGTACAAGCTAAGAAGACTCCTCTCTTTTCCATTTTAATCAGTCTGTTCTCCTTTCACCCATACTGAGGAATTAGTTTGAATGGCAAAAGGAGGAGAACATCTAAGCCAGTCTTTTTCAAACTTGGCAATTTTAAGATGTGTGGACTTCAACTCCCAGAATTCCCATGCTGGCTGGGGAATTCTGGGAGTTGAAGTCCACACTTCTTAAAGTTGCCAAGTTTGAAAAAGACTGATTTAAACCTTTTGGGTTTATGCCCAATTTCATAAAAACAGAGTTAGAATTAGGCTCCTACTGGGGATGTGTTACTTTGTAAACATTTCCCTTAGTAATCAGGCATATGCTTGATACAAGACAGAGAATTAGTAACAGCCCTGCATAGAAAACAATGCAAAGCAATGGAAATCTATGGTAACACAAACATAACCATTTTTGTTGTTCTATCTGGATTTCTGTTTCATCTATAATCTTCTCTTATATAATTGCAAAACTTTTACCAACTGAATTTTATACCTGTGTTACATTGTCTTAGTCTCGTTAGTTATTTAGGGTAAACTGTCAAGGACACAGAAGGATAGGATATACAGTAGAGTAGAACTGAGCATTGGAAACTGGCTTTGAAGTATATATCTATGTATAATAAATAATATGCCTACCCATCAAGGTAAGTAACATAAGCTCTTAATCATGCCAGTTTGTTGAATCGCCTTCAGAATATTTGAATAAATACATCTGAAATATATTTTTATTAGTCGCTGCAAAGAATAACATGCACACGTTGCTCCCATCTGCTCCAGGCGCTGTCGTCTTTGCTGCTTCTATTTTCCTACCTGGTGAGGTTGTGCTGAACCTGGGTACAGTCTTTTGCGTGACACCATATGAAGTAAGTCTGAAAGTAATGCAGAAGTAAAATTAGGCACTAAGCACGAAAACACATGTATGCAACAACTTGTACAGTGTTTTGAAAGGGAAAAAGCTCAGTGTCTTGTATTCTCAGTCAAGGAAATACAGAATTCCAGAGACGAAGTGGTATTTCTCAGTATGTTTCAGTCATGGCTTAAGCAATGAGATACTTCTCACATTCTCCTCTTGGGTAAAGATGCTGGTTTAGAGCCTATGGGACCAGAGATACCAAACACACATGGTTATTCATGAATAGCACTGGTTACCCCTGGCTAACAAGAAATATGCATTTCACCCTTTATCTCCAAATAGAATAATCCCGACTTTTCCTTCTTTCCATGTCTATTGACCACCTTTCTTGGAGAAGCAGGAAGCAAAGGGACTAAGGAAGCAATGCCTGGGAGGCGCTGAGGCTGCCCTTCTCCTCCACAGGGTAAAGATGTCCTGGAAGCCCAAATGAAGGCATTGCAACCTCCCGTGAAGCATGTTACTGGTAATGATACCATATGCTGTATGGGTATAATACCTAGAAGGCTCATCTAATCTCTGAGCTAGTCTTCTGTTAGAAGTAGATGCCTTTTCCTCAACTGCTATCCTTTCTATACACTCTATTTAAGAGCCTATAGTGAAGCAGATCTATTACCTGAATGCAGATGAAGAGTATTTCTATGGATGGGAACAAGATTTCCATGTGCGATTTGCCCTGAACATAGAAAATGTCATACCCAATCCGGAAACTGTGCAAGACAACGCTGCATGCTCCGAACAGTATTAAAGACCCTATATGAACATACAACAACCCCCCCCAAAGGTTTTGTTAGCAATGAACATTTGTCACGTGCACCGAGAAAGCAGCATATTTAGAAAGTGAAGAACAAATCAAAACAGCAAGAAGTTTCTCACAATTTCCAGAGTCTGCAGTATTTATACAAAAAGTGCTGAATGTATGTCGTCTGTACCCTAGGTGATATCTATGTGTCACCAGATACCTTTTCTATGGTCTTTGGACGCTGTAAGGAGTAGCCCTGCCTGAAAAGGTTGCTCACTCCTGCCTTAATGTAACAGGCAATCTAGTTATTGTGAGAAAGACATAGAACAACAATACTTACCTTTAATCCACTTAGCTCCTGCATGGGCATCCTGGCACCAGGTGGCATATGGTTTCCTTCTAGTGAACACTAAATAGTATGCCATCCAGCTCAAGGACAGGATCTTGAGGATGGACAGGAAAATCCAGACATCTTCCACTGTGATGGCTACCTTGTTGAAAATCATGCTGCATATGAACGCACTGCCAAGAAACACTACATTCATGGCCAGAATTCCTGAGAAGAGCTGCCCGGTCTTCTGGGCCTGCTTGTCACGGTGTAATAATGAAGAGGAACGCTGATGGAGCCATGACTTCTCAGAATGGATCTTCCAGGGCTCTGGTTGTGTAGTCATCGGTTCATCTCCAGCTTCTTGGAGTTGGTGTCCCTCCCCCATTATCTCCTTGCTGTTCATGATTATTGCCTGATAAGGATATTGCTTCTGGAATTCTTTATCTGTGGTATTAAACAAAGTTAGATTAGTGAAGGCTTAGATGTAGGTCCTGAGTACCCAACATGGCATCTGTGGCACATCCCTTGGTGCTGATGAGGTTTCTTGTGACACCATTTTTGGGGGGGGGTGTAGGTTTGTTTAATTAAAAAAATAGGCGCCAAAGTCTCTCATTGAGCAGATGGCATTGTATCTACATATTTGGCTATGTAAGTCAAATAAATAAATACATGCTGAACATTTCAGTAATTCATGGTATAACCTTGTAACATCCTGATCTATCCTCTAGTAAGGATCGATTCTTTCTGAAGCTGTAACATTTGCTGCAGACGCAGCATTGAATCAATGTGAATCATTTGAATCGTTTCATGTGGTCTCTAATGTTGTCACATTAGAGGAGACAATTCTGCCTTCTGGGTCCTATTATTTTCCTATGATAACATTTTTACACAAAGAGGGCCTAATACAGAACAGGTGGCATGCCAATAGCTTGGAATGGAAAGGAGGAATGCAAACATGGAGAGCACAAAAAATCAATTTTTTTTTCAAGATGGGAAAGAGATGTGTGTTATAGGTGCAAAATCAAGGGAGAACAATAAGGCTGAGGTAGCTGAAACAACATTGATTGATTGCTGACATATTTTGAACTGGAATTGGAAGGGTGGGGTAGGAAGGAATTGGAAAGACTGTTTAACTGGAAATGACATTTAGTTCCAAGAATTCTCTGGAGCCCCGTTTATTCTCTGGAAGCATTCTTAGAGGAAATTAAAATGATAGGGAGGTGAAGCTTAGAGTTCTATGCCCTTCTGTCTAGAAAAAAAATACAGGTAAGCTGAAGTGGTACAGAGCATCCTAACACTTCTACCTGTGGTGCAACACCACTAGTTTGTTTTCTGGTAAGCTGATGTTTTGTAGAAACAAACTATGACCCTCAAGAGAGCCCAAAACCCATTTTCAAAATTCCTAAAGTGCCCACACTGAGATAGGATCAGGAGATCACTGTCACGATCACTGACATCAAAAAGCCTAGCCTAGGCTCAACCACTTGAATTGCTCATATATGTGTGAAAAATAATAATAAGAATGCTTAAAACATGTACAAAGTCAACCATTTCATAATCACCTCAAGCTATTATGTGTCTATTTGAAGAAAGCTCAGTTATGGAACTTTTGACTTTTTAAAATATTGGGTATGTGAGAACTTTCTTGGTCACAGTTTGTTAGGCTGAATTTATACATCATTAAACCATGATTTGTTATAATTAGTTTTTGAATAAGTCACAGCAGGTGACTTCACACATGATATTAAGCCACAAACTATGGTTTATAGATCACAGTGGCTATATAAATTGTCCAATAAACCACAGTGTATTAACCCAGGCAATATGAACTATGGCTTTTGATTCTATTTTGGTTGTAGATCAAGAAATCATGAATAGAATTACCATAAATTAGCATAATATATAAACTCAGCCTCTTTTTCAGAGAAAAAGATTTTGAAGGTTTTCATTGTCCATTTGGGCCACACTATTGAGTTCTTAAGTATTTTTATATGACCTTTCAATCATATTCCCAATGATTTATAATAAAATGTTAAAATGTAAATGTAAAAATCCATAAAATCTAAAACTCAGAGAATTATAAAATTATAGAACTCTATCTCTAATACATTTTCCAGAGTACTTTCCTCTATTATTTTGCTTAAACATCCAAAAGTTTCTGTTTCCATAAAAATATTTTAAATAATGTGATTATAGTAATGTCTTCCAATAAGTAACAATATAAGCAGCTTATATTCCAAAGCAAAGAAGAGTGTGCAAAGTCAGAGTTGTGAGTTCTTCTTCCCCATGCTGGTGCTGCTCACGTATGTTAGACCAGAAGATGCCCCCAACCTCTTTGGGCTGCTATGTTCATTTGGAAGTTTGAGAATGTGTTGTGGGCACTTCCGCAGTGTAATAAAACATGGGAATCACATGAAAGCTGCAGAGTCGCTTGAATGGCTCTGTGCTAGACTGGTTTCCATTATGCCCACACAGCATGGACATTGATCCAGGAGAGTTCATAGAATCCTAAGGTTGAAAGGAACCTTAAAGTTTTTCTAGTCCAATTTCCTGCCCAAGGAAGGAATCCTCAGACCATCCCAGACAAATGGCTGCCCAAACCTTGCTTGAAAACCTCTGGTGATAGAGCTTCCATGAGTCCAAGTCTGTTCCACTGCTTAACAGCTCTCAGAGTCAGGAAATTCTTCCTTATTTTAAGTGTGGATCTCTCTCTGTAAAGCTTCCATCTGCTGGTTCTTGCTCTACCCTCGGGCACCATGGAGAATACATCCACACCTCCTTCCCTGTGACAGCCCCTCAAGGATTGGAAGTCTACTATCGTGTCTCCCCTTAGCCTTCTCTTTTTTAAGCTAAACGTACTCTGTTCTTTTAACTGTTCTTCATATTGGGCCATTCCCAACTAGAGAGGGCAACATTCACATTTTATCTTTTTACCAGTACCCAATTGGAAAGTAACTATACAAATGCAGCATCCATGGTCATTTTGCTGCAAGTAGTGCCAGCATAGTTGGAAAGACAGTTACAAGTAGCAGTGAAAAAACACGGCTTTATTGCTACTCAATAAAGTAAACTGATAGTAAATATCTAGCCATCAGGGGTTGCCTTCCCCCTCCGGCTATTTTGCCTTACTGCCTCCCCCTGTTTCCCACCATTTTTAGGTTCTCTCTTTTTTATTCCAAACTTTTCATTTGTTTTCTCCTTTTTTGCTAAGTGGTTGTAGCAAAACATTGAATGATAATAATCCTTTGGTTCCACTTCTGAAAGCCCTGAACATTCCATATACATTTGTGTGTATTTACACCACAACACTGGCCTCATGTAAACATCAATAGCATTGCAGCTTGTCCATGCAATCTGCTAGAGGTCTACTCAGATATAAATGCCACTGAATTCATGGGGTGCTTGCTCCTGGGGAAAAGGGGTATGGGATTGCAGCCTGTCACTGAAGCCTGAAAGCAAATACAGGAGAGGATTAGGGCTGGGGCAATAAAAGGAAAAGCACCTGGTAAATGATTTGCAAATTCCAAGAACTGAGAGTTGGTGCATTGCAGTACTAGCACAACGTAAATCTTGGCAAATTAAAATAAGGGACAGAAAAAAGTCCTAAATGCCATGAAGAAAAATAATCATTAAACAGACCGGACACATTTTAGAGGGACACTTTTTTCAAGGGTACTTGCATCAGACTTTATTAATACAGTAAATTAATTTATTTGGGACTTTTTGGCTCTTTGGTTTTTAGTGCCTGCCTGCCTGCCTGCCTGCCTTCCTGAGCACATGAACAAGATCTTTAATTCACTTTTACATGAGATGAGAGTCAGTGCCAATATTTTTTTTAAAAGGAATATAAAAACTAATACAAACTAATATAAAGTAAGAAAAAGAAAAGAAAAAGGAATCAAAGAGAAACTTGAAGGTGCAAGAAAGAAAAAAAAGTAAAAGAAAAATAGAAAAGAAAAAAAAAGATGATGACTGCAGCACAAAGATGCACAAAGATGGAAAGATTTGGTATTTCAATGGAGAAATGGTTGGTGAAGATGATGGAACTTGCAGAGATGGACACATTGACTTCTTTGATCAGAGAAAAGACAATATCTAGGTTTAATGTTGACTGGAAACCCCTTATAGGCTTTGTGCATGAAACAGAAAATAATGAACTTATAATTTATGTTTTTGATAATTAGAAAAGATAGACTATAGAAAGAAGAGAGTTATGTTGTAACCACAGAGTAAGAGGTAAATTTATAGTTGTACTTATAACTGCTGTAAAGAAGATCAGAAGCTACTTCTTTGTATCTAGATTCACCTTTCTGATAAGAAAGGACTACCCTCGCTCGATGAAAACAAAGCAACAAGAAAATACTTTATGCAACTAAAATAAATAATACGTTACTTGTAATAGTCATCCCTCCTTTAAAAAAACAAAAACGGATCCACCACTGTTCCCACACTGGCTCTTGCACCAGCCCTCTGATTACTTTTAGCAGCTGACACATCAAAGAGGCAGCCTCTGTGGGTTAGTTTTGTTACTGTGTCAACACAAAAAGAAATTAAGCGCTGCAGAAAAATCCCTTTCACAGTGAAGTCGATAATCCGCACATGAGGTTCCAGTAGATGGGAGCAGATCAAAAGATATTTTGAGAAGAGATCAGTTGGAGTCTGCACATCTGAGCCTCAGAATCTCAGAAAGGTTTATGGAAGGTGAAATAGAAGTCCGAGCCACAGTCTTTCCATGTTTTTCTTCTCATAGCTTTCAGGCCACTCAAACATGCAAAATGATATTTGCTGTTTAAAAAACCCTTCTACCTCCATCTTGCTCTGCTGGAGGATGATGGGGAATACTGGAGAAGGGACAGCTCCCGTAGCTATCATAATTATGCAGAAAATGGACTTCGGCAGTTCTGTGTTTGGTTTTAGCCCTTGAGTAGCAACTAACAAATAGAATGCACAGCTATGACAGACAGAGGCATTCCGTCCTTCACTGGGAACGGTCTCTTCCAACCTCCCCTCTTTGTCTTTCAGCACAGTAACGTCGCATACAAATGGTGGTGATATTATCGCAAACCAACTGATTTAAAAAACAAAAACATTGGCACGGGCAGCTTTGGCATTATATAGTCCATTGATGTCAAAGTCAAGTAAGCATGAAGCTGTGAATGAACCCCCCCCCCATTTTCTAGACCCATGCATCTTTTTAACATACCTCAGCCACAGAGCTACTTTAGATGCTGAGTTTTCATCACAATCTGCATATGATATTTTGGAGCTTGGCTTTGGCTAGGCATAGCCTGAGGATGTGCATGGTCTTGACCCCATGAGGATTGAGGCAGTAGATAAATAGCATAATAAACAAACAAACAAACAAAGGCCCTCTACCCATTTAAGCCCATACCCCACCTTCTGGCCAAAGGCCCAGATCCATTTAAGGTGTATTTCCATTGTTAACAGCACTCATGTCTGTTGGGTTGCTTTAGGACATTACTGGTTGCAGGGATCACTAGAGAACCCAAATAGTCTGGGTAGCCGGGGTATGTGTGTGTTTGGGTGTTGTGTAGGGATGGATTTTTAGGATTCATATATACTGATCAGAAATCCTCAGATCATATTTCCAAACACTCATTTAAGGCATTTTTCTTTTTGTCATTAAAGTCCCAGGAACAGAATCCCCTTGGGATTTGCAGCCTTCAACAAAGGGTGGCGGGCAGAAAATGCAAGGATTCTAAACTTGCTCTTCTTACCTCAGGACTGGTGGCTTAGCAGCAGCCTCTGCAGGAAAGGGTTCAGAGACGAATCATCCAGAGAAACTGAACTAACAAAAGGGATTTTTTTCTTTAAAATGCCATTTCTTCTCTAGGGTGGAAACGTTCTTTCTTCTCAGAAGAACTGAGAAGTCGTCAGCGGCATGCAGAGTTGCCAATGGAAAGAGTAGTTTGCATTGATTTTTTCCCTGTTGACTTTGGGGATAGTCTTGTCATTATATTAATTATGAGGCGGAGAGGTTCATTAGCCCAGGACAGCCCAACCAATGGGAAACGAGCACCTTTCTTTGCACCTGCCTGGTCAACTCCTGTTGACGGGCTTTGGACGCAGCTCCGAATGTGCTGAGCGCAAAGCCACAGGCGTTCATGACAAATGGCCACAAGGCTGCAGTTTTATAGCCATCCAAAGCTCCAGAATGGCCTCACTTCTGGCAAACTCGATAAGGTAACATAAATCTGTTACGACCTGCCACACCTGTTTCTTTGGTTTTGTCAGTTATTTTATTCGTCCGGCATATTATTTTCTGTGACCTTGAAGCCTAGAGAGAGATTGATCAAAATAGTGGAAGTTTTCTCAATCCCACCAGGAATGGAGATTGCCAGAGCAGGGTGATTCAGGGCACAAAATAAGAGCAAAGCTCACCAGGGATCCCAATTGAATTTGGGATAGAGTGTTTAATTTACATTTCATTCCACTTGGGGTATTTCAGGGCCAAAAATGTAGTTGAAAATGAATATAACACTAATAACAGCCGCATCAAATGAACCATGAAGCAATTTCAAGCTTAGAATGTGAAAAACTTGAAAAGTCTGAGGCAGCCTCCCCCAACCTCCCCCAACTCAATGCTATGCAGAGATGTTGAACTACAATTCCCAGCATTCCCAGCTCAAATTTTTGGGCTGCCCTTGCAATATGAACTTCCCTTTTAAAACACAGCACTATGTCCAAGTGCCAATCGTAGCAGCTACAGTTTCTGAGTAGCTTCCAAAGATAACCTATCCTACAATACATTAAACTAGTCAGTTCTGGGCATTAAAAGAGCATGACTTTGCTGGCTTATCTAGGAAGAAGGAAGCTGATGCAGCAGCTTCAGCTAGTAACGCTACAGCAGTTTCTGGCTGGCTGGGGAATTCTGGGAGTTGAAGTCCACACATCCTAAAGTTGCTGAGGTTGAGAAACACTGTGCTAGAGCTTATTCTGCACATGCCAATTAGTCGTGGGCAAAGCCGGGGTCAGGAACAAGCCCAGACCATGAACCCAATTCTTCTGAGAAGAGAAGAGGAGGGCTGATTTCTCCTCCTTGAATAGATAAACCACAGACCATTAGCTCCTCTATTGTGTCAAAACTGAAATTTGGTTTTGCCTCCATCATCCAGTCTATTACCAATTCAAGATATTGGTTCAGCTATTTTGTTGCTCCACCTGAAGAAGAGTTGGGGGTCATCTGTATGCCCCATAGAGTGCTAATAGCAGCATGATCATCTGGCTGTTTCAGAGGCAGGCATAATGACTGTGAGAAGAGTAAATATTTTTGGTTGTAGAAAGGACAGCCATCAGTCTTGGTGGAAGGTAGATGTAGCCATCTGAAAGCTGGATCTAATGGCACCTCATGTTTCCTATTCTTCCTTTATGGCAGCTTTTTCATTGTTTCTGGACTTGGATTACTGCTCTGCTGAGCCAAGCACAGATTGGCTATGGCTGGCAGATGGAGCAGAAATATCCCATTTCCAGTTGCATTGAACAGATGGGTGACCGGTCAGTCAGATGCTTCCCTGCAGGGGGGGGGAAATCCTGCTACTAAAACAAGGATATGCTAGAATTCTTCTCACTAACACATAAGGCTTTTTAAAAATCATGCAGGGAGATTATTTGCCCAGAAGAGCCTCTAGGCATGCAATTTCTAGATCTGCAGTGGTCCAGTCTAGGATAAGCTTTCCCATCTTTAAACCGTTAAGATGGGAAAGCTCCTCCTAGGCTGGAGCACTGCAGATCTAGAAATTGGATTCAGGCATTGTCCATAGCCCTAATGTGACTTTTTTTTTTTTTTTGCTTTTGTATAGCATCAGGGTTAACTTTACCATTTGACCACATCAAGTTGCTACTTCAAGCAGCAGACTGGGATTGAATAAAAATAATAAGGAATCTGATAGCACCTGTTCCGACTAACCAATTTTATCAAAAGGCATAAATAAGCTTTTGTGAGCTGCAGTTCACTTCTTCATAAAAGTTTATGCCTTTGATAAAATTGGTTGGTCAGAGAAGGTGCTACCAATTCCTGATTCTTGGCCACCACAGACTAGCACAGCTCTCCTCCTACAATGTCAGATTGGGATTGGATCACATTAGACCAAAGCCTGGCTGTAACTCCAGTGAAATCCAGTAGTTTTGGTTTTTAGTAGTTAGCAGATCATGTTGCTCAGATTGCACTAAGGCAGTAAAAGAGGAAGAGAATTGGCTAGTTTTTCTATTTCACCATGATGCAATCCTCTTATAAAGATTGGGAATAGTGGCTGAAAGAGCATTAGGCTTGCAAATCATCATCAGTTTCCTCCTGCTGATTAGCTGCCATTGGAGGAATACCTTTGCTTGCATGTTCCCACCTAAGAATATAACTGGATTTCTCAATATGTTAATCAAGAGGTAAAATGTCATTAAGAAAGCAAGTTAATAGGAAGTTGCACAATATATGGCAATTTATCTGGGAAATGTCCTTAGACACTTTTATGCTTTGGTCCTCCAACACACACCTGTCTTGCTCAAAGATCAGAGGTATAAAAGTGCTTTGTGAAGGAAGCCATCTTATGTTTAAGTGAAGCCACCTTGTCCTATGTAGAGCCTTTTTATTAAAGTGTTATATATGCTGGATTGTCTGATTTTCTTTTATCTCACAAGATGTTCCTGGGAAAGAATGCGAGAATGTGATAAATCATCCAGCTGTACCAGCTGCAAAGGCAAACAAGGTGGTGAGCACTGGGGTGTGTAGTGATAAGAGGAAGCAAGATAATGAAGGAATGTTTGTAGTTTTGCTGAACAGATCCTAATTGCTACAAGTACAATTACTGTGCTGAATGTGCAAAACCATAAAAGACATGCCCAGAGAGAAAAGGGCTGAGTCCCTGTCTTTTTGCTTGCAAGCTAGAATATACATTAATCCTACTGCTGCAAACTGGACTCAAGGATTTCTCTATGACAGAGGTCACACTTTTAAATATTTGGGTTTTTTTTTTTAACTTTTCTTCGACTGCAAGGAGGCAGAGTAGTGATGTGAAGTCACATGGGTGGAACCAATTGTTTTCAGCCATGTAGTCCCAGGGAATTTAGGGGCCATTAATAAGGGAGTCAGAGCTGCCTGCAACTCATTGGCCAAGGATGGCCTGCTTTGTGCCCTGACTATGTCTTGCTAGAGTAAAACATGAAAATTAATTAAATTGGGCATTTCAGGTAATGGCATTTTGAATGTTCTGCTCACAGAAAACAAAGCTGAGATGGGTTGTTGCAACCTGAGGGAAATTCTGCAGACTATTCTACTGATGCTCATCAGCAACTAGTACTATTGATCTTGGAGGTATCATCATGATTAGCAGTATTTCATATCTTTGTCCTCCATAAAATAGTCTTTTCCCTTTTAAAGTTGACTTAATACGATTGGCATTACTACATCTAGTGGGAATGAATTCCATCTTTTAACAAGGCATTGCATGAAGAGGTATTTCCTTTTACCTTGACTGAATCTCCCAAAGTGTATTCATCAAAATAAATTGCACGCCAATCTCTGGTCAATAAAAGCTGCACAAAGCACTCTTTAGAGTTTAGGAATATGTTTTCTATCAATGGTATAAAACATAGCATTGATTTATTATAGTGGCTTGGTCTGCCCTAAATCTCCCCTGATGTGTCAGTTTATTTTGACACTTTCCAGTACCAAGAGGACACCATACAATTTGCTGACAATGGTTAGAAGATCAGCAGAGCAATTGGTTCCTTTCATCTCAATCAGAATGACCATAGCTGAGCACCAGTTTTTAGAGAAACAGTTTGGCTGATGGGCTAGAGTGACATGGGCTACAAAAAATGATGCTTGCAACTTGATAGTTCTTTTAATCAATTCCATAAATATAGAGTAGTCCTCCATGGATCAATAACTAGTACTAATACAAAGGTTATATGAAAGCACCTTCTTTTCTTGTGAATAAGATGCAACCATTTAGCCCTTCTATCTGCCCCCATATTAACCCTGACAGAGATTAAACAGGGACATATTTTGGTGCCTTTGGGGTTGAACCTCTACATTAATGTAATGCCAATAGTCTTCTGAGGGTTTCCACCTGTCTAAGTTGGCTAGTAGGCATCTTTCTGTGCTACTTTATGTCCACGAGGCACTGCCATGCCAGTGGATATGGGGAAAGCACTTTGTGTTATCTGCTATGCTGACAAGAACTGAAAATCAGTTGCCAGAAAATGAAGCTCACGCTTATTTCAAAGCACCAAAGAAGCACAGGTGGCTGATCAACAGGCCTCTAACAGGGCAGATGAAGATTTGGGTTGGCTTTCATGCTTCTGGCACCTGGATAGCACATTAGTACAGTAGCTTTAAGACAATTTTGAGAGGTTTACAATTCAGTAGGAAACAGTTTGAGAGTTGTGACCCAGCTTTGGGGCAGGATGTGTCTTCCAAGACCCTGGTCCCTTAGAAAGTGATTTTTTTAAAGAGCAGTTCTTTTAGTTCCTCAAGGGGTGCCAAATGCCCTTTGCTGCATCAGGATAATACTCAGATTGATTGAACCTCAGAGCTCTTCCTCATGTTTCCCTAACTACAAGCATGCCCTGATAATTATTTTTTAATGCCATGTCCTCACAATGTTGCCTTTATCTCCTCCACAACTGAAGGTTCTCCTGATATAATTTTTGCAATGGACATGATCTAGCATGTTCATTAATGATGTGATTGATGACCCAATCAGGGGTAGCGATCTGCCCAGCTCCTGTTGGCCAGTTTAGAGTGCTGCAGATGTAACCTTCTTCTCCAGTTGCTGGGAACTGCCCTCCATGGCCACTTTGATTTGGGCCATGTGGGAAAGAATGGACACCTGGCTTCCATAGATGCTTCTGCCCAGCACTTTCTTCTGAGAAACTCACAGTCTTATGGTAAAAATAACATTAGAAAACATTTCAAAGGGACCATTCATTGAAGTGTGGAAGGGAAGTAGGA